TTGACAGGAAGTCTAGAGGAATGAATAGGAATATGACCCTTCGGTGTCTAACTGTGATATTGGTGTGTGGAGAAAAGGATGGAGCGTTTCATCGTATCAAAGGAAAATGGAAAACAGTTCCTCTAGCCCCGTACAGAAGCCCCAGGCTGCGCTCTCCTCTTTTTTCAGAGGGACATTTGTGATGGTGAGGCCACGGAAGCCTCTCTTCCCTCAGCGTCCTCTATGGACTGGGTTCACTGCTAACTTAAACTCTGAAATTCTTGTTTTCAGAGGCTCCAATATATAAAAGATATTCGATGTGCCCTCTTACTGGACGCATGTGTGTGTGTGTGTGTGTGTGTGTGTGCGCTTGCATCCGCGCACATGCCTGGCTTGTGGGTATGGGGTTGTGGACAGGCTCCGTGCACTGTTTCAGCACATGTTCTTGTGGATAAAGCCCAAATGTATTCATGAAGATATCTGGCTCGAATCCTCTCTGTGCAAATAAAGATCTCTGCTGGTCTGTTTCTTTCTCTGGATACACAGTTTATATGCTCATCCTGCTCTCTACTTAGACATCGCCAGGAGAATACCAGGAAAATGAGGAAGCAGATGTCTGTGTCTTTCTCAAGGTGAGGGGTGAAATTCCTGGCCTGCTGTGTTAGAGACCAAGTCGGAGGGGTAAGTTAGCAGCATTTGGAGCAGGAACTCTCAAGCTTGCCGCACACTGCAGGCTGGGTGTAGCTAGAATACCAGGTTAGGGAGAAGGGAATGAGAGAAATGAGGTTGGTGTGCCCCATATTCAGTGCCCAGATCGCTTTCTCTGGAAATCAAGCATCAATTGATTTCCCTTCATTTCCCTGCCCCCATGCCCCCTTTCCTCTGTTTCCTCTATATTCTCCAGAAAAAAAGAAAGAAAGTGGGGGGGGGGAGAGTTTGAAGCTCTGACGCTCCTGCCCCACTTTTTATGGGAGAAATTCCAGTTTAAAAAAAAGAGGAGGGAGTGGGTTGAGGCTGCAAGAGAACAAAGCGCCTTACCACCATGGGGTCTGGATTCTTGCCCAGACTTGGGGCCCTGGTGGGCGGGCACAGAGTTTGGGGGGCCCTTTCAGGTTCAGGATACAAGCTGCAGGCAGGATGGAAGAGGAGGTTTGTGGAGGACAGAGGACATAGGACTTGAGCTATCTAGGAAAGAAAGGGATTTGGGGGATGGAGAGGCCACAAACAGGAAGGGGTGGGAGTTGGGGGGGGGGCTATGGGAGAGACTTCCACACATTCAGAGGAAATTCCCAGTGGTTCACAAAGGATGATACTGGTGGGGAAGGAAAGAAAAGTGACTGATTCTGTGACTCCCTGGCCCTGCCCATTTCCCTCCTTGCCTCCTTTCCCCCCACCTCCCTGGCTCTAGCATGAAGATGCAGATGCCACTCCCAGGCTCCTAGATTCCTTTGGAATGGTCTCCACTTTCTCTCTCCACCCTCACAACCTGAATTCAGAGGAGATCCACCCAGGCCTTTTCTCTAGTCTGAGACTCACCTCCTGGACAGCAGCTGCCATCCTGGCATCTTCCACCTTTATTGTTCTCCCTTCTTGGGCCCCTTGATTGAGGGAAGATGGGACCAGGATGGGTCGAAGCACTGCTTTGCTCCTAATTTGCTTACTGCTCTCAAACCCAAACTTGCTTTCCTCCAGGCCCTATTCACTTCCCTCTCTTAGACTTCAGGGAAATCTACCCTCTTTGTCAATTTAGGGTTGCAGTGCTGGCTGTGAGTTTGGGAAGTCACGTTAAACATTCCTCTCTGGTTCTGCAGGGATCCACAGGAAGGTGGGGGATTAGGCTGCCATCTCCAGTCTTCTCCTGGATTCTCCTCCAGCTTGCCCTCAGTCACAGACCCTGCCTCATGTGCTCTGTGTTTGAGTCGGGGAATCAGGTAGCCACTTCCCTGGGGAAGTCTCAGGAAGCCTCCTCCAGTGGGCTCCAGGATTCCTACCTCGGCCCTGTTTCTTCTACTGCTTCCCATCCTGGCCCTCTCACCCCTGCCAGGCTCCTTACAGAAACCCTTTCCAACCCTCCTCAACCTCTCCTTCCCCAGCCACCCCTTTTCTAAGCTTCATTCTTCCTATTCCCTTTTTCTTTTTCAGCAGCATCTCTGCCAGTCACTTGCCCTCCTGCCACCCCACATGGACAGAAGTTCTGGGGATAAACAGAGTTAAGAAAATTAACAAAGTATCTTTCCTCTTCTTACCGCCCAGAGTCCCTACCCCTACTCCATCCCTGCAGTGGGAGAGGGCCCTCTGTCCCCCTTCTCTCCCCCCAAACACCTCCTCCTTTTTGGAAACCCTTTAAAAACAGACAAATAAAATCTCTCTTGGTTTTAGGGCCTGAGAGGGAAGTCCAAGTTCATTTTCAAGTTAGAAAAGGGAGCTGAGGGGGGTTGGGGAAGAGGTGGAGGAGTGTTTGCTAGGGGCTGGATTTGACTTCCTTGCAGAGATCTAACAACAGGCCCTTTTGGTCAGAAAGCCAACAAACCAAATGCTTGAAAAGGTATTTATCACTTGTTAATTTCTTCCATCTTTTAAAGTTTAAATTTGGAGCTCCTAGAAAGGAGACAGACCATCTCTTCTCATCTCTTCCTTTCTTTCCCTTCCCCCTCGCCTTTTTGTGTGTTTCTTTAAGATTTCAGATTGCTTTAAAAGAAGATAATGGAAAATAACATTTTTCTGAGAAAGGATTGTAGACCTCAATACAGCATTCTTCTGGATCAAAGTGGACTGTTTTTCCTGTCCCAAATAAGGAATAAATATAAAAGGCATAGCTGAAGGGCTGAACATTTCTTCTCTAACTAGGTGAAAGTCTGCCCTCAATTCCATCATGATGCTGATACCTGGAGTTTGGTGGCTCCTAAGAGGTAGATAGAGATGGTAAGAGGTTGTATGTATATTTCATTATGAGGAAGGGGGGAAATTATACTTTAAATGGATTACAGCCTAGTTCTCCCTATGACCAGATACCTTCAGCAGTAACATCAGAAGGTGCATTCTGATGTTTTCTCAATTTGAAAATAATTGAGCTGGACGCCAGAAATTAAAGAACTTTCAGAAGATCCCTCACCAAAAGAAAGAAAATGCAGTTTTCCTACCTCCAAAAAAGAGGGAAATGAAAACCCAAGACTCAACTAAAGGGGGATGAACACTTCTTTGCTAAAATAGCTGATCTTGCTTGAGAAATATGGAGCAAAAAGGCAGGAGGAAGATTCAGTAGGTACTTGGGACAAGATTTCTGCTGGTGGCAATTAATTCCACCCTCCTAAAAAGATATAATCTGGTGAACTATTAGTGACTGGAAGGAAACTGTCCCTATGATATCTGTAAGGAGGGAACTGCTAGATTTTCTCTCCCTCACTGTCTCCTCCTTCTAACCCCAGTTTCTCCTTCTCTAGAGTGTATTGAGAAGAATTTTCTGTCTTAGTTATGGTCTTGTACATGCACGCAGTAAAGTCAATGAAATCTAAAGAACTAGAAAGGAGGACTCAGATATCTATTTTCTCTGTTCTGAAGGATTACCACACTCACTTGCATAGACAGAGGAAATTTAACTTAGATAATAAAAAGTGTATTTCAAGGTATAGAGAACACCTCAGACTTCTTGCGCTTGATGGTCTTCAGCATTTCTGGGGAGCAGGACTAGAGGGTCCTGGTTTTTGAACACTACTGGATAGTACACAGGCTGGGGAACATGCACGATGGCTGGGCATTGTGCTACCATGGAGACAGGTTGATCATGACAGAGGTGCTGGTGGGGGTAGGCTGAGAATGGTGAAAGGAAGGATTTGAGCTTGGGGAGACCCCGAGAGGATCCTCTGACTCCAGCAGTGGCGGTCTTCTCTCCTTCAGCTGAGCCACTATAAGCAAATGGATGGGAGAAAAAAACCATCCTTATGTCTGCAGAGATGCTATTTCTGAGGAAATAAGGAAACCTTGTGCAACTCTCCTACTCTGAGGACTTAGGACAACCTTTTTCTGCTAGAATCTGCATTTGTGATTTGAAGCACTAGTAATTCTTTTCAGTGCTTGGTTTATTAATGAACTTCTCTCCAAAGAGGTAATATAGATATATTTCTCTCGTCTATTATAGACCTATCATCATGAAACAAATAAATATGTAATATATGCTTTGTTAGATGTTAAGGGAACTTTAGATAAATATTAACATAAGATATGTACCCTCAGATACCCATCTCCATCTAATTAGGTACTCTTTGTAAAAAATTAATAGTTTCCCTTGAATATGAAACATAATCACATTTAAATTTTAAAAAATTTAAAGCCAAGCCTTTAATTGTCTTTATGCCAGCGCTGAGATGTGTGTGGGGAATTTGGTGGACCTGTGGTATGGTGGGTAAAAACATACATTGACATAGACACATGGGTTTGATAATCCACCTTCACCAGTGTTATCTCTGATGCAGTTAGCTATTTTTAAGCAGAGATGGTATTCAGGCATGTATGTAAGGCAGAAATGCTTTTTGTTAACAATTTTGCTAAAAACCTTCTATTTAAGAGAGAATAAAGACACCATGTCTGACGATATCCATGATGAACTTTGCAGTATATAATTCTCAGGCTCATTTCACCCCAGACATCACTAAGTGGAATTACGTGCCTGCCAGAAACTAAATTGCCATCTAGCCAAACTTGGCAGAGTCCCGGGCGTTGGCACTGTTCTTGCAGAGCATTTTTTCCCTCTGCACAGATTTTTAGGAGATTCGGGTTACTTCTGGAGCCTGGATGGCTAGTCCCCTCAGTAAGAGCAATCACTGCCGCCTGGCTCCGCTGGGAACGCGGCACCAGCATCTAATTCCTTTCTCTTTGTGGATTGCTCTCAAGACTTCGAGAGCTCTTCCGTTAATTTTAACAGGCTGATTTTGTTTGTGTTTTTCACATGTAATAATTATTTAGTATTTGATTTCACTAACTCCGACTAAACTGAAGCTTGGCGAAAGCCGCTTCACCCCGGAGCATCAATGGCCGAGCCTTGAGGACAGCGGGACGAGCGCCCGCGCCGGCGAGCTCCCGCTCCACTCCCCGTGGCGCCAGCGCAGAACCAGGGGATAGTCACAGTCACAGTTCACACCCGTAATCCTGACTGATGCACTTGGGTGCACTCCGTGGGCACTGATGGCCGAGCACAGCGGTGAGTACATTTCTCTGTGGGGCAGAGAGGGCTCTAATGAGATCCCGGAGAGCTCTGGGCGTGTGGGGAGGCGCGGGTCCGCGCGGGTGCCTGAAATTCAAGGGCGTGCTGCTGCGAACAGATCTGATGGTTCTGGAAGTTGGTCCCTGCGCCTCCAGGGGTTCCTGTGCTTATTTGAAGGGACGCATCTTAACTGTGGATTTTTTGTTGATTACCACCACTGCCATGTCCAAGAATCAGCCAGCTTTCCTTTGCTTTTTTCCTGTCTGTCTGCCTGCTCCTGTGGAAAGGGTACCTCCTAAAAAGAGAAAGAAACCCCTCCCCTTATTCTCTATGCCTTGTGTCCAGTCTTGGGATGGGAAAGTGGTCTTCTAAAAAATCATACACTTACAAAGATTTCTCCCAAATAGTTGAGAGAATCCCTGGTTTAAAAAAAAAGAAAAGAAAAGAAAAGTGGGGACAAGTGGGTGGGTGGATGGGTGGGTGGAAAGGCTGGAGGCCAGAGAAGCTGGTAAGAACAGACTTCTGCAAAGCTTCCTAAATGTTAATTGGCCTTAAGGTAAAGGAAGAAAGCAAATTATTCAGATGTTAGGGATCTTGGTATTAAATTCTGGGTTGCTATGTGTTTGTTGCCATTTGCTTTTCTACATGTTTGTCACCATTTGCTTATATAATATGTATGAAGTGGCACAGTCATGAATGATCCATGTAAGAACTCATGATGACAATATCCTCTTCAAATGGATATGTTTCAGTTGTACTTCTAAACCTAGTGCATATATACTATAGGCCTACAAATTTCTGATACTAAGTTTTTTCTTTAGAATACTTTGTCCTTCAAATGGCAGGGACAGGCTCATAAGCAGTGGCAAATTTCTCTTTTCAAACACTGCCAGTAAGAAGAGCAGGCTCACTACCTTTTAAAGTTTAGCCTCCTCATTCTTGGGGGAAAAATTGTTTCCCAAATGTATTTGTCCTAGGAAGAAGAAAGTCCAGTCCTATCCCTTCTTCCCTCAAAATGACTGCTTCATTAGTCCCTGGGTTCTGGCTGTCTGGATGCAAACAGAAGAGTGCTTCTTGCAAGGCCCAGAGACTTCCCTCCCGCCTGCATGCTGGCCTCTCAAGGCTCACTCCTTAGGCTCTGAACCGGGCAGGAATCTGGGCAGGAATCTCTCAGATGTTTTGCCCAGTTTGGAATATGGATCTGAATCTACCAGTTCAAGTGGGTTGATGCCCCAAATTCACTCTGTGATTGCATTCAGCCTAAGGGTTTTGTGGAGGGGGCTGGCCCTACCCAGCTGTGGTCAACCTGGAAAAAACCCTGGAGGTCCAAGAAATATGTTTTCCATTGACATAAGGAGAAAACCCATGTTTTCTCTCCCTCTTGCTCGCTTTCTCTTTCATATATATATCATATATGCGTTCTGACAAATGTGTCTAGTTCTATGCCTTTCATCGCAGCAGAAGCCATATCCTTAGAGGAACCGGTGCCCTGGAAAGGCAGATTTTGTCTTTTTAAGCCAGGAAAAATGCACAAAGGACCCGTTCCACCATTGTAGAGCACACTGCACTGGTCTCTATTAGATTTTCCTTTTTTTTTTTTCTCTTTCTCTTTTTCCTCTCCATCCCGGAGAGTCTCCACAAGCAATTAGAATTCTCCTCTTCCTAAATTAGACAAATAATCAATCCAAAGGTGAGAGGAAGAGTTGTGAGAATGTTTTCAGGATTTCATGGTGATGATGCTTTCTAGTACTGCCCTCCCGCCTCACCGCCCACGGATAACATTGCGTCTATGACCCGCCCCACACGGTGAACCTGGAGAATGCGAGCCATGCTATTTGAACAGGAAACATACCTGTGAAATTTCAAAATCTGCCTTGATGACAAGGTAGCTTCAGTTTCGAGAATCTAAAACTGTGGGGGAGAGTCCCCCATCTTAAGGCCGAAAAGGCACCTTTTCCTGCCCTGGGTGGGGAGGGGGGGACAGATTAATGGGGGAGGGTCTAAAGCGGAAAAGCCGGTGGGGTCATAATTTCGCTCCAGACCTTTATTTAAATTTCAGTCGAATTATTTAATTTTTTTTTCTCTCCCAGGGCCTTTCAAATTGCTCGCGAATCTTGTCTTCCTATCTAATTCCCCAGCAGCTTCCTCATCTTCCCTGGTGAACTGATGAAATCAGGCGGAGAGAATGGCCGCAGCTGAGCAGGAGAATCCTTCCCCTTCCCTCCTGTGCTGAGCCGCGCCTTCCAGGCGGTGACTTCGAGGGGTGCGGGCTGTGATGCCCTGGGCTTTTTCGTCGTCCCTCCCCCATGGGGATCTGGGATCCAGCGATCCCGACGCCTGCTTCCATGGAACCTCCTGAGTCTTTGGGCAGCTGCAGTCGCGCGCCCCTCTCGAAGGAGCCCCGGACGGTTTGCACAATTCCAGACAGACGTACCACGCTGCCAGCCTGGGACCTGCAGACCCTTCTCTTCTCAGCCTGAACCAAACGAAATCTGCACGAGTCACAACCTCAGTTCCCAGACCAGGTGGCGTCTACCCATTCTCATCTTTGTTTTTGTTTTGTTTTGTTTTGTTTTGTTTTTTTTGAGGAGAACAGATTTGAAGAAAAAAAAAAAAAAAAACGTGTTAAACATTCCTAGCGGACCTTGTGTGTGTGGGCCGCTGCACTAGGGCCAGGCATCGGCCCAGCGCCTCCCGCCCTTCCCAGAAGCAGACCGCAGCACCTCCACTGCAGGGGACCGAATCACTTAACGGCATTCGCCCTTCCAGGATTGGTCGCTCCCCAAAACCGTTTTTCCAGAAGTTCGCCTCCTTATCCAGGCAGTATGCAAGCTTTGGCCGCTGCGGGCGGGTACTCATCTCCCACCTCCGCGGGGTGCAGCACCCGGAACCCCAGATCCTTCAAGCCTTCGGACCCAGCTTTCTCCTGGACGAGCGGTTAGGTGCGGCCCGAGTGAACTCAGGGATGACTGACCCCCGACGCCTCTAAAGACCTCACTTCGCAGCTTTGGAACTCTCAGAACCGACGTTTTGCTCCATCACGGCGTTGTGGGGACCCGGAGTAAATTCAACCCTTAAGTGTCTACACTAACGAATTCTTTCCTCCCTAAGTCCGTTTCATTTTACTCAGAAAGCCTCCTTTGCTCTTTGCTTTGGGATTTGACAGACTCCCCATCTCCCTCAGTGTGTTTTTCCTATGTGACTTCCAGATTATTTCAAGAAACCCAGCGGGAAAGGGTGCTTAACATAAAACTCCAGTGAAACTAGGGGAACAGGAAAACGTTCTCTTCACACATACATGAATAAGGTAATGAGTGTCTCTGCAGAATGGAACATCTAGGGAAGAACGGAGATGCCCTTTTATTTCCAATAGCGAGCCAGAGGCCTGAAATTTAGATAACAGAGGGGATCAAATTGCTGGAAACTTTGCCTTAGGTGATAAATCCAGTGAAGAAGCTGTTTGCTTCCATCAGGAGCGAGACGCCAAGAGAGGCAAGTGTTTTGTTTTTTGTTTGTTTCTTTGTTTTTAATTGTAAATATTTAAACTCTACTTGAGATGACCTCGATCTCTGCCATTTGTGTCTTCTGATCCTACCAGAATGAAGCATTAAAAAAAAAAAAAAAGACAACATAAATCCAGTTTTGGAATTACCCTCGTGTAAAGTATGATTTTGTTTAGGGTTGAAAGACCAGGCAGTTTTTCTGCTTTCATTGGATTTTTATGGCCTCTGTGTCCAGGGTTGAGTTTTATTGGATTCTTTTCAATAACAAAAAGTTTTTTAGGGTTGTGTTCCCTTTCACACTTCCTAAGACCTAGGGGTTTTAGGCACATCTTCATTACACAAGAGGCCGGAAGTTCCATGGTAGAAGAAACCAGTCTCTTGTGAGTGGAAGGTCTGGGTAAGCAAGCTGCAGGACCCTGTCCATCTTCATGGCCACCTGATTACTGTATCCTCTGTTCTTTCACAGGGGTCCTCTCTTTTCCTCCCCATCTTTTCTCTCCCCCATTCACCAACACATGCCATCTGGGAAAAAAGATCTCTTTGGAGAGTGATGCTCTTCCTTTTGAAGAAAGAAGTATTCTTACAAAGGTGCTGTAGAACCATTGGTTCTTCTTGATGATTTTCCAGATTGGTCTCTAAAGCAATAATCTCCCCCAAATCTGGTAGCTCTTCACAGCTGGACTACATTTCCCAGCTTTCTTTGCAGTTTGATGTGGCCATGTGACTAAGTTTTTGTTAATGGAATGCCATTTTCTAGCCAAAGCTTTTAATAAGTGCATGTGACCCCATCCCCTCCCCCAATACTTTCTGTCCCCTTCTTCTGTTTGATGCTAATCTTGAGGCCCTAGGGAACAGTGGAGAGTCTCATAGGAAGAGCCTGGATCATTGAATCACATGTGGAGAACTGCCCACTGACAGGTATCAGTTGCCTAGGACTTTACCCAAGGGAGAAATAACCCATTGTGTTTGATCCACTGTACATTTTGGATTTTATTATTGACTAACATACTCTTTAAAGACAAAATTGTCCCTTATAAATGTCAATGGGTGTTAGGTCACCTTTATTGGGATTAAAACTCCAAGAGGCTCCAAGATTCTTCTGCCTCTTCTTAGGTGACAGTCTGATAACAACTTCAAGTCATATATACAGTTTCAAATCTGTATTTAGAATATCCAGTCTGGTGTATCTTCAAGGCCCTGAGTTTGATTTAATGTGAGGTCTTCTCCTCTCCCTAATTCAGGATTGCTTCAGTCTAGATGCCTGTAGAGGGAAGGAGGGGGTAGTTTTGACTTATTACTTAGCATTGAGTTTTTCCCTCCCCCTATCCTCAGCTGCTATTTCAGATCAACTAGTGGTTTGAGAGGTGGAGACAGTGGGGGCTCAGTTTGAATGATGTCTAGTGACTTTGAGTTTAGATAAACTAACTAGATCAGGGCTGCTGTAGTGGTGAAATGCACCAAATGAAGCAAAACTTTGGCCATTAGTTACTCAATCAGATATATAGACAAGAGAGTGGAGGTCTAGACAATTCATGATTTTTAAGTAGATTTTCTGAGTTATTAGTTTGATATGTTTCCAAATTTGAGTAAAGAATCACCATTCATCCACTAGGTTGTGTATAAATGGCCCCCACCAGTCTCCTGCAAAAATGGCTGGTATGGAAGCATTTCTCCAAAGGTAACGAGAATACATTGTTTTGAATTAGTTCACCCAAACTTCTCCCATCATCTTGCCTAGATTGTAGACTAGGCTCACTCTCAGAGAATGAATTCCTGTTTTTTTTTTTTTTTTTGGCCCTTTCCAATACTAGGAACTGGACCCTTTCCTCTCTGCAGTTCTGTTTTGCATTCTACTTCTTTTATGGAAATCACAGCAGTTGTCTAATAGCTAAAATGCCTGCCAGACTCTCTGGCATTTTTGAGACACTGGCATCCCTCTTTATAGCCAGTGCCAAGCCATTCAGGCCAGGCTTGGGGTTACCAGGTGGGGAGAAAGCCTGTCCAGCAACAGCATGCCAAGTGCAGAAGTGTTAATGATACAGTTTACTTTATCTGTGGATCCTGCTTGACTGTAAGTTTTTAGGGCTGTCTACATGCTGATACAGAAAAACAGCGGTGGTACCTGTGAAATGTGTAGGATTCAGTAGCAGGGTCTGGGGCTGCTGTCCCTTGGCAGACGTCAACATGACCCTGGCCAAGACTTTAGAATGAAAACATCAGGAAAGTGAAGCCCCAATGCTCCATCACCAGAGGACTGGCTGGGAGCTGTCAGGTTGAAATACTCATCTGTTTGGGAAGGCAAAGAATAGGAGCAAGGCCTCCGGCACTCCTCTCCTCCTCGAAAATGCCTCTCAAGCAACAGAACCAATGCCAAACACATCAAATTAATTAAGAAAAGAAATAGGAGAGGTATCAGGACTGAGCTTCTACCCTAGCCAGTCTGTCAATCAACACCCCTATGGGGAGCAAGGCGCTGTCCACACTGGGGGCAGGGACACCACAAGGGGTGAGGCTGGTTTCCTGCACAGCGGGAGACTCAGCCAGTCTGTGCGGGGAGGTGGAACATGGGCTCAGGACCCGGCCAGAGAAGATGAGGAGCCTGAGAGACAGAAGAGGTGACAGAGACGTCCATGCAGAGGGAAGAGGAGGAGCGGGAGCTGAAGAGAGGCCGGAGGGATCTGCCAGAGAGGAATCCTCAAGGAGGGAGGTCGCTCAGAGCTGAGATGCGGCTGAGGGCAGATGTGGGGAAAGGCTTGTGCCCCAGGGTGGGCAATGTTAGTGCAGTTTAGAGACTGGAGACTGTGCTGGTGCACAAAGGGCAGGAGTCTGGTTGAGCAGAAATTCTGCAACAGGAAGTTACGGGAGAAGAGGCTAGGAAGCTGTTGGATTATAAAGCTGGCAGGAAAAGATGGGCCAAACTTGAATTTCTGGGTAAAGGTGTTTGTGGCCGCAATGCTGACAAGGGAGGAAGATTTCGCTCTGGCTACCTTTCAGAAAGAAGCAAAATACAAGCAAAGGAGGGCAATGCAGTCATCTTTGGTCAGCAACAGGGTAAACAGAAAAAGCATGCTGCTGCCCCAGTTCCAGCCTGAAGTAGCAATAATATCTTCTAGCTACTGCAGGAGCATCCAGGGAAGAGCTAAGGAATGTGTGGTAGCATGTGACTGTCTGTATGTCTCTGTGAGTGTGTTTAAGGCTGCAGGTGCATGTCTTTATATGTTCCGATTGTGTTTCTTCTGGAACCCTTTAGAAAAGTATGTAGAAGATGCAACAACAAATATAGTAGTGCAATAGATTAGTAGGTATACTGCTGAAAGAGCTTGAGAAATACATATCCCATGGAAGAAGGTGTAGTATCGACCACTTCATACACACACACACGCTGAATAACATTCATATATATATATATTTATATGTATATCTAATATATATATCTGTATTAGAAAAGCACATATACGAAGACACCACCATTTCAGATCTGTACAGAGACACAAGTGCTATTAACTGCTATCCATTTCACATACTATAGAAAAAATTAAGAGAATAGTAGACTTTAAATTGTATTTAAATCATCTTATCTATTTTTTTTTGTCTATAAGAAAGAATATCAGCTAACCAACTACTTCAAGCAGCATAGTGCCTAATTTTTTCTGAAAGAACTACAAAAAATTAGTCTAATATCTAACTGCCACTAGCATGTGTGCTATAGAGGAAAGCACACTGAATCCTGTACAAATAAAAATATATGAATTATTAGTCCATACCTATCACCTAATAGCAGACTGTCCTTTGGTAAGCTACTTTCTCTCTCACTTTGTTTCTTCATCCATTAAGTGTGAAAGTTGTTTATAAAATCTAAGCTTCCTTTTAGCTATAGTCAGAATACACATATATCACATATGCAGTGTTATCCAAGTGGCCAGAAAGTTTGGTGAAAAAGAAGATCAGAAGATGACCATAGTTGTCCACAAAATGCCCAAATAATTTTTTAGTTCTGTTTTCTAATGACAAAATTTCAATTTTTTTGATATTGTGAGGGGTTAATGACTGAAATTTTCATATTTGAACCCCTGCATTGGTGTCACACAATGAACCTGAGAATGAATAGGTCTATAGTCACTTGTTCTACCCAAATGTTGGAGATTGACTACAGTTACACAATTAAGTCAATGAAAAAATCAGTATGTTGGTCATTTGGCACTATGTGGTCAAAACTTTTTTTTTTTTCTAACATTTTAAGCAGATTCAGTGTCTGTGTTATGGATGTGTGCTCATTTCCTCCAGAATTGGTGCTCAGGCCCTCTTCTTTCTGGATCTCTATCTACCTTCATCCTGGTTAACACCGAACACAAAGAT